AATACTGTCGGCTGCCGGCGCAGAAGTTGCAGTGTCGGCAGGGTGCAGATCTGGACTGGTCAGTGCCACGGGAGCATCAGCTGGATGGACCAGATCATCTGGACGGGTCAGTGCCGCGGGAGCATCAGCTGGATGGACCGGATCGTCTGACAGGGTCGTGAAGCGGTTCTGAAGGCGTAGGCGAGGCGGTGAAGTCACCCCATTCAATAAGCTCCTGCGCACCACCTCAGACCACGACTGCTGATGGCCAGGTGTCGAGGAGTCGGAAGGCCGCAGGTGGAAGGATCCCACAGAACTGTGTCATGGATAGTTGCACTGAACGAGACAAGCTGTTTAGACTGCACCGATGCCACCTCCATGAGACCGGACACGAGAGAGTCTTTTTCTTTCAGCTCGTCAGAAAGCCGTCGGATGTCCTTCTTAAGGTCTGTTATCTGTGTATTAGCTCTCTGAAGTAGCACATAATCCCCAGGGTGTTTTGATGGCATTCTTGAGTGTAAAAGGTTAGGGCAATTACTGTCCCATGCACCAATGCCAAACTGCGTCAAGATGTATAAGTATAAGCAGGGGTGGCTAAATGTTTGTAAGCAGGAGAGCTAGATGCTAACAGGTAGTGGGAGCCTGTAAAAAATGCGACTGACTTGTTCAGAGTTTGCACACACTAACCCATATCACTATTGGTTATTGTATGGAGTGTTATTGTATTAGCTCAGCATAGCAATCAGCATTCTTTTTCCTGTCTTCGGCTAGCTGTTCAGGACTATTTCCAGTGGGTTCATGGAGAATAGTTTCTTTTAATTTCAGGATATGTAGGCAGCCTAAGAATCTTGTTTCCCAAAGGTCATACTTATCCATCGAACAAGAGCTGTGGCGCGAAAACTCCCGTTTTCTAATCTTGTGAGCACAGCGATTAGCTTGCTAAACTAGCTTGTTAGCATTATGAGTTCTCACATAATACGTCACGTGTAACCTCTTCCGCCATTTCTTTACTTATTGGTCCACATAGTTTGTAGAAGTTCCGTGTAATACTTCACGTTAAACTTCTTCCGGAAAACTAACATGAGTCCAACTTTGCCTGGGCCCATAACCTGTTAACCCTTTGGAGTCCTGGGCTAATTTGGCCGTTTTCGCATACTTTTGATTTGTCTTACTAAACCCCATTAAGAAATGTTTGGCATGTCAATGTTTGGTATCTTTTTTTTAAGGACAACCTCACCTATATAACCTGATAGTTATTTTTTTCATTTTGAGATACTATATGAACATTTTGAAAATGATATTATTTTTTATATAGGTAACACAAACATGCACAACGAAACAATTTGAAAGCTGGAAATATATACATGGGATGTCACTATGATAATGTGAAAGTTTGATTGAGGTAGCATGAACCTATATAAACATTTTATGAACAAATAACAGGTGTATCCATAGGCGTTTTTTCCTAATTTCTCAAGTTCTGTCAACAGTGACACAGTAGGCACAACAAAACATTTAAAAGCTTAAATAATGTACATTGGATTTCATTCTGATAAGGCAAAAGTGTTATTATAAATATAATACAAATATATATATATATACACATTATGTACAAAAATCAGTTTTTTCTGTCTTTATCTGTGCCACGCTTCAAAGCAGTTTCTGTCAACAGAGGGCAACATCACAGGCTCCTCCTCCTCCATGTCAAAAAACAAGCTTATAGCTTGACTCACGTTCAGAGTTCTCTTCATCATAGTTGAATCTTCAAAACTCTAAATCTATCTAACTATATCTAAATTCTCAATGTTTGTCTGTCACTTTACTTCAATCGCCGTCTCTCTTCGTCTCCCGCCGCCCGCCGCCTGTCTTCGTATATCTTCGTCTCCCTCCATTTCCTGCCGTCTCTCTTCGGTTCCCGCCGTCCCTCTTCGTCTCGTTACGTATCACTCTGTTTACCTGATTACCTCACCCCCTCCCTGGTAAATACATCCTGTTGAGCAGGATCTACAGTTTCCAGTATTTTCCGTTTCGTAAAATGATAAAAATACGGCGAAGATATTAAAATATGTGCTTCCATTTTTCATACTTTTGAAATATATTTGTATTAACTTTATATCATCGTATCTCCGTGTTTACTGGGTATTTTTGCATGAAACAAAGACTGGCATATAGTTTCAAGCCAGTACTTTCGACAGAAACACACGGCAATGTTGTCCGGACTGTTGTTTTTATGCGGCACCGGCTTGAACAGGTCATGTGATCTGATCACACCGGCGTGACGGTCGACTCCAAAGGGTTAAGCAATAAAGTATGCGCTGTCATCTTTCTTCTCTCTTCCTTTTATTCAGGGACATGAACAAGCTTGGCTGTGCTGCGTAATAAACATTAGACATAGAGCGCTCCGCGCTTATCATTACTATTAAACATGGAGTAAGGGTGCTATTACAAAGTACTTAACACACCAAAATGACCCCAGAGGTGGGTTTTGTTTTCTAAACTTCTCTAAAAAGGTCAAATTTCACTTGTTTTGCATCAATCTTGATACAGGGTACTTATTATATGTTATAGTTTGGATTCCTGAAGCTTTTTGTCTACTATCCCATCATTCAATGGTGGTAATGGGGGTTTTTTGGACGGAAACTATAATTTAAATCTTTTTACTATGTTCAATCTGAATTTACTTTAAAATAAAAACATCTATATTGATTCTGACTTTTCTACATCCAACTCACAGGTGTATCATTGCTTTGAGAAAAAAGATTATTAATTTATCCCTTTTAGAAGTGAAGATATGGTCATTTGTTCTGGGAATGTCAATGCTCAGGGTTTAACAGGTTAATCCCCTCGCTGCCAAGTAATCAAGGGGACCGATAACCGATATTTGGAACCGATATACATTTGCAGTAAAATCAGAAAATCTTGGTGTCAAAATGTAGAATAACACAAACTCCAACACAACTTCTTTGAAATGCATTTAAGCATATATTATATTTAATGAACCTTTAAACATCTTACAACTGGTTTCCTCTCTGTGCCCTTTTCTTTAGTGCAGCCATCTGCAATGAGTTAGAGAGAGACAGAGAGTTCAAAGTGGGGCTGCAGGCTGACATGCTTAACTAACAATAATGCTTAATTTATTATATCAAAACAATGCCTGTCGATCTAGCATAAAATCCCAATAAGCTGCGAGCAACTGCAAAACACTAGTGCTAGCTAATGTTTTGCAAAACATTCAAAGTGAGGCTATTACAGTAGACTAGTGTTGTCACGATACCAACATTTTGGTTTCAATACCGATACCAAGTCAAGAATTGCGATTCCGATTCTTTTTCGATACTTTTCTTTTATTATTTTCATGATCAATAAAATTGTAGTTTATCTGTTAAGCGTTTTCTTACAACATGGTCTCTTCTTTATACTTGAGTTTATGTGATTTCTTTGATAGTTAACTTTATATTTTATTAACATGTAATAGTACAGTAATATAAATAATTATTGACAAAATGTACATTGCAGATGTTAGCCACATTGGTAAGTTTGCTAAAAAGATAGCCATATTAGACAGTTATCATTGCCATTAATTGCCTCGTCAAACTACGAAAACATTCGTTTGTCACAAAATAAATTACACTTGTTTGACTTCGATTTGAGGGCATGGGCTTGAGCATGATGTAATTATGTTATCTATCACATTCGCTAACCTGTCTGTCATTAAATTCTGTAAACAGCTCTGGATGCCGGTCGGCGAGGTGCTTAGCCAAGTTTGATGTGTTGGCTCCCTTGGTTTGCAGGGACCTAAAACATTTCTTACAGACAGGTCTCGTGGTGTCCGTAGGCTTGCCCTCACTGTCAGAGATATAGCTCAAATACTTCCACATTTCGCTTCTGGCGTCTTTTTTCAGCTATCAGACAATATTAACAATTTTTTGCAAAACGAAACACAAATGTAATACCAAGCCTCTGAATTAGCCCTGAGTGAAAAAATGCTAACGCACTTAGCACAGAATTCACGGTATAAATACTTTATTACGTATCGGATCTGCAAAAACAAGATATCAGATTAAAGCTAAAATTCCACATATTCTAGAAATATAAGTAGCGGAAGCAAACCCAGACAACACACAACGTAGCTTTACGGAGCAAAAACGGCATATATGTCTTACCTTTTGCTGTTTCTGATCAAAGGTTGTGTTCAATGGCATTAAAACGAGAAAAACGCTGCTGAAGGTTAATCCAATGTCTCTGTGTCACTTTGAAATGATTACTGATAATCCATCATATTTATGTCAATAACGGAGTTGCTCCTGTGGGGATTGCCAACAGTACTGAATGTATGTAAGTCGCTTTGGAAAAGCATCTAACAAGTGACATGTAATGTAATGTGTATGACAGCTTCCGGTTTTGGGCATTCTGGCTACGCATCACTCATTCACCATGGGTAATGTTTGGATAGGAACTTCCCTCTCGATTCTATTGGCTCTAACGGTTAAAAAGAGGTGTCAATCATCAAAATCGACCGAGGGGGGCCAGAGATATGAAAAATGCACCCAAATGACCCCAGAAGTGGGTTTTCTTTTCTAAATCTCTCTAAAAATTTCAAATTTCACTTGTTTTGCATCAATCTTGATACAGGGTACTTATTATATGTTATAGTTTGGATTCCTAAAGCTTTTAGTCTACTAACCATTCAAGGGTGGTTTTCACTATAAGTAATGTTTTTCTTTTGGACGGACAATATAATTTAAATTTTTTTACTATGTTCAATCTGAATTTACTTTAAAATAAGAAAATTCTATATTGATTCTGACTTTTCTACATCCAACTTACAGGTTTATCATTGCTTTGAGAAAAAAGATTATTAATTAACCCCTTTTTAGAAGTGAAGGTATAGTCAAAAAATGTACACGGCTTACAGCATTCGTACGTATTTTCAACAGGAAATGCATTTTCTAGTTCTCTCTAAAACACACACACACACTGGCTTTTTCTTGTCTCTAACCCTTATCTCTGTTTCCTCTCAGACGACACACACCATGACCTGCTGACATCATCACACATCCCCTTTTACTCTCCTAAAAAATGGCTTCGCCCAGCTGGTTTTCACCGTGGCGACGGTCGCTGCTGCTTATCCTTGCTACCTGTTTCCTGTCTGAGTCCGCCTCGAGCACGCACTTCCCCAGAGACCTGGAGCCAATAAGTGTGGTCGGCTCGGCACGTGAGTGGACTGTTTGAGGGTTACAGAGATGTTAATGCTGTAATGGTCAGAAACGTTGCTATTAGAAACAATGCACGACGTGTTCTGGAAGTAATATGGTGTTTACATTAGCAAGCATCGCTAACACTCAGAGCTAAGCTGTACTGGAGAGAGTATGTGTAAAAAAGCAGAACAAAAAAAAAATGAACTCACCTTGTGGTAAACCTGAGAGAGAGAAAAAGCATTTGAGCTCCATACTGTTTCAGAAATAATCCTTGAAGTGGTTTGGAGCATGATATGGCGTTTAATCACGGCAGCATTTAGCTGCATCTGAGTAGATTGCCTGCTCGTCACAGAACTCACAGTGTGCCTGTATGGTGCTCAAAAGGGGGCGAGGCCAGCAGAGAATCAGCCATTCTCTAACAGGGGGACACAGGGGGATATGAGGGATGTCTAAAATGCATGATCTGTTTGGTATTTTGAGCAAAACACATAGACATGTTTTTTTTGTTTTTTTTATATATTTTTATATATCTGATACCCATAATTTAATTGAGAGACGTCCTTTTAAGAACATTTGAAGTCGTAACGTCTAGTCCTTCACCAATATTCTCTTTCAGCAGTTTTATGCTTCATATTTTTAAATAATGACTTATACATTATGCAGAAAAAACAGTAGCACAAATAATTTTGATGCATGGCTTGGCGAGAAATTCTCAAATGATTCTACCGGATAGCTCGTAGCTTCCTGTTTTAGCAGCCCTGATGGGAGCTGTAGTACTAAACATCAGAACATAGTCCTACAATTCTCTGACATTACAAAGACTCAGATTGTACCAACAACATGGTTCTCCTGTCCTCAAAGACCTCGTCTGTCTGTTGGGGATTCACACTGCTCTCTGTCTGCAGAGGTGTACCAGTTTCCAGGCTTCCAGGGTCTGCTTCAGGACAACGACACCCTGCGTCTGGGTCTGGACTTTCAGAGGCTGCTGCGCATCAACCACATGCTGTACATCGCTGCCAGGTCACACACACACACACACACACACACACACACACACACACACACACACACACACACACACACACACACACACACACACACACACACACACACACACACACACACACACACACACACACACACACACACACACACACACACACACACACACACACACACACACACACACACACACAAGCTCTAATCGAGACGTTCTCTGCAGCACCAGCCAGACGGATCAGTTTTACAGAAGGTCAACCTTAAGACCCATGGCCCAGCACCTCACCCATAACAGCTTGCAAAGATAATAATTTGCTTTCACACTATTCCATGCCGCTTTACAGAAGTACACTTTCAATAACAAAGGGACCTGTGCACTGAAGCGTCTTAATATCGTCCGTTTCCAGCAGTGGCACTCAAAGCGGGGATTTGGTTGTAAGAATATTAACAGTACCAAAATGTCCAATCCAAAAAAAGCTGATGCAGAGGGAAGGTTAAAGATTAAATGATGGCTCGAAATGAGAGCCTGCATGGCAACTTACACATCAAGGGCACCATCACGGAGCTGTGACACAGCCTGCATTCACACACTGCGACCAGCCCTATCCAAACCCTTTCTACGTCTCTGAAATAGTGAGTGACAGGCTGAGATAACCCTAACCCTAACCCTCTGAGGGTAACCATAATGCTGTGGCTGGGGATGGAATTGAGTTTGCGCCACTCTATATCAACAATTCCCAGTGTTTTCTTCCTTTGAATGTTAAAATGCATTCTGGAAATTGAGAAAATGACTTGCTTCATTAGAAGTGGATCGAATCTGGGCACACTGAGCACAACATTTATTCTACCAGATCTTCTGATGAGTGCACCTGTGTTCTGACCTCTGTAGGGATCACGTGTTTGCAGTGAACCTGACGACAGCTTCAGAAGAGTTTTTCCCTCAGCTGGTGAGTATATTATAAAATAAAACTGATTATTTCTGTGTTTTTCGCTTCTTGAAAACAGATTTGTGAGTAACGCGTTACACCTCTGGGTTTGAATATATGCTGGAGCTTTGAACTTCTAAACCACAGAAAAAAAGTTTTCCTAGATGATTATTTCTATTTAAAGTGGACCTATCATGCTATATTTGAATGATATATTGTAGGGCCATACCTATATAAGGTATATTTATATGTTTTCTTTTTCAAAATACCAAACAGATCATGCATTTTAGCCATGCCTCATTTCGCTCTATTTTGCTCTCCTCCACCCTGTCTTTGCATGCGCTGCAGCTGACCACGCCCCCCTGCAAAGGAGGGGGCCGAGTTACGAGCGTCATGTTACCATGCTGTTACCATGCCACGGCAACCTCTCATTCCCCTGATAGGTGGAGAGTTGGCCATATAGGCGGAGCTCCTCCGTCCTGACGTCAGAGAATGTTCAAATCTGGATCAGTTTTTATCAGATCCGTTGCAGCCCCGTTTTTAGAGATTTGGGTATGGAGGAAAATAGAGAGGGTTGTGTTTTCTGACACTTGGTGAGTTCCCTGGAACACCGGGGACACATATTCATGTATAAAAGACGTACAAAAGTGCATTTTGCATGATAGGTCCCCTTTAAGCAATGCATTTATGAAACTCCACAGTAATTACAATTCTAAACACTAAACACTTGATATCATTTTTCATACTTTTTTTAAAACAGAGGTTAAAGAAGCTTCCTATTTTAATCTGTGCCAGTGGAGTTAGCTGCTCAAAGGTTAACGGATGCACACAGACCCGAGCCATACTAAAGGATTCTGAATATGAATTGCATGGCTATAAATGTTATAGAATAGATAGAATAGAATAGGGAGGGATGAACCCCTCTTTAATGGTCACACATGCAGAGCACACAGCACACACAGTGAAATTTGGCCTCTGCTTTTAACCCATCCTAGTACCAGGAGTCTAGTACTAGGAGCAGTGGGCAGCTATTGTACAGCGCCCGGGGAGCAATGGGAGTGTGGGGGGAAGGGGGGTGTCCGGTGCCTTGCTCAAGGGCACCACGGCAGGGCAGGAGGTGAACTGGGACCTCTCCAAGTAGAAGTCCACACTCCATATTTAGGTCTGGTCGGGGACTTGGACCAGCGACCCTACGGCTCCCAGTCCAAGCCCCTACTGACTGAGCCACTGCCGGACAATATATATATTATATATCATGCTAACTCACCATGACCAGTGCTGTAAGGGTCAGTGTGTTCATGACAAACCAACATGGTTCCTCATGCAGAATACACAGTATGTAGATTGATGCATGCAATGATCTGCCCTCACCATTCAGGGTCAACACCTTCATCCTTTTGGCATATAGAGGAATACCATTTAGTTGATGAACTATCCTAACAAAAATATATATATATTCTGTATAGTTAAGTTCATGACAACTGTGAGGGGGGGAATTTTTTCACAACTAATCTTCTTAACTTATATTAAGGCTTAAAATGATGCATAAATGATGTCAAAGAACCATGACCTCTGTGTACTGTTACAGCCTTATTTCACATAAGCCTTTTTCTCATCTGAACCTCTGTCTGGCGACTTAGGTCTGCTAATTGTCTGAGTTCCTGAGTGTCAGACGCTTTCTCACAGACTGGAAATACTTTCTTTAGTTGAGCCGAGGTTAAAGTGTGGGAGGAAGCTGGTATTACACCACCGTAATGGAGCCACTTGTAATTTGGTAATTGAAGCCTGGTATCTTCTTAGTCAGAAGTTTCAAACCTTTTAGCCTCTCTGGTAAGAAATGTTTTCTGGTGGACAAAAAGACTAACAAAGCTTCGTTTCAACAACCACAGTGGCTAAAATCTACCAACATCCCAGATGTATCTGTGCTGCTCCTCTGATTTTGACTCACATACTGTAAACATCTCTCCCTAAAAGTGGCGAGAGCAGCATCAAAGCTGGCGGCTGACAAACTGCAGAATATCTTTTGCAGAAAAAGCAGTAACTATCAGAGCAGCAGAACAAACCAGAGCATCTTGTGAAGTGGGAGACAGCACAGAGTCCCTTTCATCTGCAAACCTCTTCCTCATCACAGACAGTGAAGGTTACAGGGTGGCACCTGAGGTAATGGGCCTCTCTGTCTATTGTGCCTCCAGCAGCTCTTTGAAGTGAGATGTGACTTTATTTATCAGTGATCAGACATCAGCAGCGCGACTGAAGTCCACCTTCTGCATTTCATTCTCCCTCTCTGTGTGAGAAATGTTTTTAATGTTTCAGGTATAACAGGTCCAACTGAGACAGGATCAGGCTACTCACAGAATAAGTCATTTTCTGCCACTAGGTGTCTCCAAACCAAATCAATGCTGTCATAAAGTGGGAGTTGTTGCCTTCACCATCATTGTGGTCTTTACAGTCAGAGAGCAGTTATCCACATAGCTCCTCCGACACAAACAAATTCTACATTTTCTTTTGAATAATGAATGTCTCTAAAAGTGTATTTTACCACTGGATGAAAAGCTTTTATTAAACAACACAGCTGACGTTTACTAAAAGGAGATGCAATGCCACTTCAGGCGACCAAATGTTGACCTTGATTGAAACTCAAACATCTCATCATAATTCATTTTTATTTGTGATCAAAAATCACAATCACAAGTCGAATTATACTCTCTTATTGTCTGTCTGTCTGCTCACGCTGAATTAATAAGTTAATATCCTGTCAGATTCAGATCTGTGCTGTACTCTGTGTTTCAGAAGCTGACTTGGCGATCTGAAGACGTCAGCAAGTGTACGGTCAGAGGAAAGAATAGCGTGAGTTTCTTCTGCTTTTCCCTTCTTTTCTTTCCACCCCTTTTGGCTTTTCACCTCATAACTTCCTGTTCCTCTACCATGTCCGGTTTTCTTATACTGCATACAGTTTAATTTGAGTATTTATGGACGAATGGTTTAAAAAATGCTAAATATGCAGATGAAATCATCTTACACATTTTGTTATTTGTGAACAGCAGAGACTCTGTAAACTAGTGTTTCATCTCAAGCCGCACGATTTGGAAAAAAAACCTAATTCTGATTAAATGTAATGATATTGAATTGCAATATGATATGATACGCAGCTGGTATTACACCACGTCATGTAGCCGCTTGCAATTTGGTAATTGAAGCCGGGTCTCTTCTTAGTCAGAAGTTTCAAACTTCTTAGCCTCTCTGGTAAGACATTTTTCATCCCATCCCAGATGTCATACATCCCAGATGTATCTGTGCCGCTCCTCTGGTTTTGACTCACATAAGCATCGTTCCCTAAAAATGGCGAGAGCAGCATCAAAGCTGACGGCTGACAAACTGCAGAATATCTGAGCAGCAGAACAAACTAGAGCATCTCGTGATGTGAGAGGCAGCACGGAGTCCCTTTCATCTGCAAATCATCCTTCACTAGCTTTGAAAGATATATTAAATTGATCATAGTGCAATTTGTTTCCTTACGAAACAAATAAGGTAAGTCTATAGCACTACGATGTTTAGGCCAGCATATCTGTGCAGTTCCACAAAATTAATTCTAAATGATATTAAACGCATATTTACCATATTGCAATTACAACAAGATGTGGAATAATTGTGCAGCCCTAGTTTCAACCCTGACAGTCGTGATCAATAAGTGTTTGTTTGTTGGGTTTTAGGACGAGTGCTACAACTACGTCAAAGTGCTGGTGCCGCGAGATGACGAGACGCTGTTCGCCTGCGGTACCAACGCCTTCAACCCCACCTGCAGGAACTACAAGGTGAAGTGACTGTCAGTGCTGCGGTAGGCTGCACACTGAATATATACCCCACATCTGTTCTAACACATTATCTTCCACCAGGGGTGTCCATTTTTATGTGGCCCTCAGCAAATTCAGAAAGTATGGCCCAGTGAAAAAAGTTTGGACACCCCTGTCTTAGACTCTTTCCCCAGCTCCATACACATCTATTCTCTTGTAATGGTTTGTCTTAATATCTGAACGGAGAAGAACAGGAAATACACTGCAGACTATCCTTTTCTCGAGAAAAAAAACTAAACCGAAATAAATTCAGGATAAATTACATACGCAAACCAACATACTAAAATGTTTCCTCTTCCTATTTAAATAATTATTTTTTCATGGTACATTTTACTACTGAAATAGTAAGAACATACTGTTCTTATTACTTTATTGAAATTATTATTCATTTATATGTTGCTGTTTTGTTGTAACAATAAACGAAGTAGATGTAGCTTATATATTTACTTCACAGAATGTAATAACAACAAGAGTGTATAGGTGTGTTTTTATGTTTATGTGCATGTGTGTGTTTTCACATTTGTGTGTTTTTGTTCTATTGCTATCCTTCTGATTATCCAATAACTTCATCACTAGCGTCAGTTATCCCGCAGAGAGGCATGTCTCAGGGACGAGGACACTTTTATTCTGCCAGCGTTCCTTTCACTCGTTCAGTTTCTAATTGAAAGTGTCAGACAGCTCGATACCTCTTCAGAACCATACACATGCCTTGACAAAAAACACTATTTCGGGTGTCAATCCAGTCGTAGTCCCTTTTTATGCTGCTGCAGCGCTGAGGGTTAGAGTGACAGGAGCTAACCCTGTTTAGCTTCCTAGCTCTTTGAAACATGCGCCCGTATATGAGGAGCTTTTCTCCTTTTGTTTAAGAGTTTGGATCCAAAACGAGATAAAAAGCACTGTAAAGATGCTGTTGTATTGCTTGCTTGATAAATAAAATCAGCTTGTACTGAGCAGGAAATCATTAAAGAGCTATTTCGAACACTCAGGATGCTGCAGTTTCAAGATCCTCAGTGAGGAAGCATTAGCCATTCAGCTAACGTAGCTTCTGAACAAACTGTTATAATCAAAACAGCTGCAGGCTGACAAAGAATTATCATCAGAGAGCTATCAGCTTGCCTAACACAACAATGACATTATCACCGGCATTTTAAATAAGATGCTATGCTGAGAATATAAAACAAAATAAGAAAGGATATGAAAGGGAACTGCATACAGCATCGGAGGCACACAGTCTTGAGATACATGAACATGCACCAACAGAAATACATGCAGTAGTGGAGAGTTGGCAAAGTGGAGAGGCTACTAGTTGTTCAGCACCCGGAGCAGTTGGGAGTCCGGTGCCTTGCTCAAGGGCACCTCGGCAGTACAAGAGGTGAACTGGCACCAGCTACCAGTCCACACTCTGTATTTTTTTGGTCCGATTTGGACTTGAACCGCAACCCTTCGGTTCCCATGCCAAGTCCTGGTTCGGTTCCCAGCCCAAGTCCCTACAGACTGAGCCACTGCTGCTAGCCAAAATAAGTGCCAGTCTTCCATAATTATGTCACTATGTTACGGTAGTAAACAAATTAGTCCAATGGAGGTGTTTGTTGTTTTGGAATTGTCCCTCCCCTTAGTTCAATTTAAATGCACACACATTAACATGTATCACATAAACACAGCGATTTGCAACGTTTCTAAAGTCTCTCTTTTATAATTACATTTTAATAAGTAACCGATAATTAACATGATATTTACATTTAAACTCCATCAATTTAACAAAAATAAAAGATACAAAATGATAAGATACAGATAAGATAAGATAAAAATACAACTTTGAACTTTTAATGTTGTTGTAATGTTACGGGCCTGGGATCAGCAGGTTGTTCCATAATGAAGATGTTAGAAAATCCTAGCGTGCAAATATGTTTTTGATGCTTCTATTGTTAACAAGTTCCTAATATGTCTAAATTAATGATACAGTGAAGGAAATAAGCATTTGATCCCTTGCAGATTTTGTAAATTTGCCTACTTACAAAGAAATGAACAGTCCATAATTGTAATGGTAGGTCTATTTTAACAGTGAGATTAAGAATATCAACAAAAAAAATCCAGAAATTGATATTATATAAAAGATTAAAATGGATTTGCATTTAACTGTAGGAAATAAGTTCTTCCTCTCTGACGAACCAGCACCTTACTGTGGTAGAGAGGTTTGTGTGCCCTGATTAACCTGGGGGCTGGGTTGTCTGGAACCTTGTGTTCCTGGTAGGGTCTCCCATGGCAAATTGGTCTCAGGCAAGGGGCCAGACTAAGATTGGTTCAAAAGACCTCATTTTTGTGTCGCGTGTCACTCGTGTCGAGACCGTGTCACTGTTGGTCCGTCCTGTCCTGTTGTCTGCGGTCTGCGGAGCCCTGCTCCCACCTGTAGAGTACGGCTGTGCTGAGGTGGTTTTCCCCTGGAGAAGTCGCGAAGAGACGGAGCGGCTCCACCGGCTGCTGCCTGCTTTCCACCTGTCAGGTGTCTACGATCTGCGGAGGCCTGCTCCCACCTGTAGAGTACGGCTGTGCTGAGGAGGATTTTATCCCGGAGACATCGCGGAGAGACGGAGTGGCTCCACGCTTCGGGCTGGGGCCTGCTTCCACCGGGCGTGTGCTGCTGTGCGGAGGAGGATTTGCCGCGGCTGGGGCCTGCTCTCCACCTGTCCTGGTTCTGCTGTTGCGGAGGCCTGCTCCCAACTGTCGTGTGCTGCGGTGTCGTGTGCTGGTTTGCTGAGGAGACCTTTTACCCCGGGGATACCACGGAGAGACCGGAGCGCTTCCACGCTGCTGCTTTCGCCTGTCCTTTGCTGCTGTGCTGATTTGCTCCAGGAACATCGCGGATACTGTGTGCTGGTCTGGGAAAATGGCCCATATCGTGATTCTGCTGTGCCTATTAACTGTTTTGGACTATGAGAAGATCTCTAGTCATCCTGAGAAGTCTACTGGATTCAGGTCTGTTCTGCCACAGTGGGCATCCCCTGCAAAGGGTCGGATGTGTCGGATGTGTCACTTGTGTTTCCACCGCTCAGAGCCCGACTGGTGCTGCGTCATGGCGTCACCGTTTACGTCGCTGATTTTCTCCCCAACGCCGCTGACAACAACAACAATGGCGGACTGCGTCGGGTCGATGATCGTGTTGCTTTTAATCATACGAAGCCAGATTAGATTAAATAACTACTTCTCAACCCTTATACTTTTCTCCAGAGTGTCGTGGTTCATTGTTTATTAATGTGGTTCAGCGGCATTTGCAGACCGCTGCAGTGCTGCTCTTCCACCGGAGTTTAGTCTACCGTTAACTCACGGCAGCGTCCGCTGGAAATATTCACTGTCTGACCATCACAAAAGCAGCTGATTCATATCCCCCCCCCCCCCCCCCCCTATAAGTGAATGTGTTTCAGTATGAATTGACGCTGTTTGGCATCACAACACTATTATGAAAGTTTCTCTGGTATAAAATGGGTGATGTTAGCATAGCAACCAATGCTAATCTGACTATTTTGACTACTTGTTGCTATCCTATTGTGGCATAAGCCGTTTTCTACAGGCACATTTTACCGGCGTATTTTTCATTATGATTCTACTTGTGATAGTCGGACATAGCAACCTGTGTAGCCAATGTTTTGATTCCAAACGATAGCTGCTATAATAAAAAACACAACGTCTGCCTGCTCTCCACAATGATCAATAACAGCGAACGGATGGTCAAAGTAAGGTAAAAATAAACAGAATCACACTCAGCCTGGTTAATGTTGCCTGACTTTATAAAGTGTGTTTTTTTTACAAGTGTGTGGTTGCGTTCTAGTCACTTTGCTCAGCGCTACTGCTTGTCAGAACTTTTATTTGCCGTACTCGCCATGAACTCAGGTTAATCTCGCCCCCCTCCGACGTAAGCGTGAAGTATTGGTTCTTGGTTCTTGCCGGGCAGCCGAGTGGGGCCAGATAAGAACCAGTTTTCTGTGCTTATAGCCGGCCCCGCTGCGGTGGAAACAGGAAAAACCAGAGCTTAATCAGGTTCTCACCCGGAACCGGCCCTGGAACCGGTTTGGTGGAAAAGGGGACTAGTCTTGCCCATGGTGGAGAGGTTGGAATCTGATTGATTGATTCTGTGGACAGGTGTCTTTTATACAGGTAACAAGTTCATATTAGGAGTACTTTTTTTAAAGGAAGAGGACTTATGTAACTGGCCAGTGGGAGCCAGAATTATTGTTGGTTGCAAGGGGATCAAATACTTATTTCCCACAGTTAAATGAAAATAATTTTGTATCTCTTATATGATGTACATTTCTCAATATTCTGTCTCTCATTCGTCAAATAAACCTACCTTTACAATTATAGACTGTTAATCTATTTGTAAGTGGGTAAACTTACTAAATCGGCAAGGGATCAAATACTTATTTCCTCCACTGGGTATCTTTTTTTCCTCATATTTTTGATATGGCTTTCAAATTCAAATTGGTATCCATGACCAATTCTACATTTGAACTCATGACTGTTTCTTTTGTGATGCATACCTCTCTCCTGTCAGATGGCGTCCCTGGAGCAGGTGGGGGAGGAAGTGGTGGGTCAGGCCCGCTGTCCCTTTGAGTCTGGGCAGTCCAATGTGGGACTGTTTGCTGGTGAGTCCAAAGTGACTGTCTGAAAAAAGTGCTTTTCTGGTAATCTGCACTTTTGGGTACAGGTATATTCAGATATAAAAGATGGAATTCATTAGTGATTTAAAGGATTTTTCATATAGGTATTTACAGTACAGCATTACAAATCCTTAACAACAAAACTCAACAAGACTGGGGAGTATGTACAGGGTTCCCGCGGGGTCTTAAAAAGTCTTAAAAAGTCTTAAATTTGATAATCTGAATTTAAGGCCTTAAAAAGGTCTTAAATATGACCAAAAAAATAAGAAAGGTCTTAAATATGATTTAGAAGGTCTTAAAAATGATCGGATTTGAAAGGTACTTCTGTGTTGAGATCGCGTCTAAATGTGTTTTGGGGGAAATGTCCGGGCTGCAAAGTAACCAGTACGGTGAGAGCCTTTCAGTTCCCCCCAACAATTTGTATTGAAATAAATCAACATGGAACCAGTAATCACTAACATTGTTTCCACCGGCCCCTTATCGGAGAACACCCAGCTAGTAACCTAGCAAGCAAGCTTCAGCTAGCGGCAGTCAGAAACTCATGTATCTTAGAATCTACTTAAAAATAAATATGGGGAAGTGTAAGTTCAACCGTATTTGGTTGGAAAACATCGAATTTAGTGCTTGGTTGAAACCAGTGGAGGGGAACGTGTTTGAAGCCCGCTGCACCTTTTGCAAAAGAAATTAGCGTTTGTTTTGCTAATGTGTTAATTATTTAAAACAAATAATAATTTGAACAGTATCTTTTTAACTATTGATTACCCTGAACCTATAATTCAACTGCAAAACCAATACAAAAATAAATTAAATAAATTATCCATTTAAATAAATAATATCAAAATAATAAATACCAATAAACAAGATCAACAAATATTTTGGAGTGCACTTCCACAAGCTATTAAACATGTATAAATATGATAAATAAAAATAAATTAGACTAAAATTAATTGGATCAAATATGTTGTAGTGCACTGTCACAACCTAGCAAAGCAAAAATAATTTCGTAATTGTGGCAGGCCAAAATCGTAATTGCGATTAAAATATGATTAATTGCACAACCTAACACACACAGACACACTTTTTGTCTAACACGCTAACACAGTGCTGTACTGTTATGCCTTTACATTTACTTTGTAAGTAATTATGGGACGTATTTCTTCTTTCATCGCAATTTTCCTTCATACTTTCTTGCCGTGAAATAGGTCTTAAATTCTATTCAAAGTGGTCTTAAAAAGGTCTTAAAAAGTCTTAAATTTGAGTAGGCGAAACCTGCAGGAACCCTGTATGTAGATAGTTCCAAATTACTGCAGACCAGAACAAATCTTCGACAACACGTTTTCAGAAAAATTACAATGTCATGCACAATCATACACAAAGCAAAATATTTTGGTTGAATTCATATTAGTATATGGGAAAACAAAGAAATTCCTTAATTTTAGTATGTCAGAATAGTTCTCAGCATGAACATTAAACTGCAGCTGTTGCTCAGGCGGAGACTTCTACTCGGCCACCATGACGGACTTCCTGGCCAGCGACGCCGTCATCTACCGCAGCCTTGGGGATGGCCGGCCCGTCCTCAGGACCGTCAAGTACGACTCCAAGTGGCTCCGAGGTGAGTCACAGGGTTTGGTTAGTTTGGACCAGGTAGGTACTGTAGGTGCAGGTGAGGGGAGTTTTTTGTAGTTGATCCGGGTGTACCAGCCAGAGCAGTTGGATGAGGATGGGGGTGATGTGGTCAGAGGATTAGATGCAGTTGATGCTCCGGGCTGCAGACTTCTGTATGATTTGAATCAGAATCAAAAATCCTTTATTATTTCCACAGCAGGGGAATTAACAGTGTTACAGCAAAAGTGGCATAGCAGGTAAAAGAAAAAAGGCATCCAACAATACAGAAAAGCACACATTATACTAGAATAACAAATAAAGACAAATAAGTGGGTAAGTGCAAATCCGTGGCTAAAAATGATGCGCAGCAACTTCAGAACTTAGTGACATATATAATGTAACGTGTTGGGACATTATAACAAAAAAATAAACTGTTGGGATATTCATTATGATGATGGTTTCCACATAAAGGTGATTATGCACAGTATTTCAAGAAAAGGGTCTATATTGCACATTGCCATTTTGTTGCACAAGTTGCACAGTCTGTATTGTGTGGGGGTCTACCAGGGGGACTGGTGGTTGTACAGTCTAACTGCTGCAGGAAGGAAGGACCTGCGGTATCTCTCCGTGAGACACCGCGGTTGCAGAAAGCTGTCACTAAAGGAGCTGCACAGTGCAGACAGGGTGTCCTGGAGGGGGGGACACGTTGTCCAGCAGGGAGGACAGCTTGGCTGCCATTCTCCTGTCTCCCACCACCTCAACAGTGTCCGGAGAACCCCCCAGGACAGAGCTGGCCTTCCTTACCAGTCTGTTCAGTCTCTTCCTGTCAGCAGCCAAGATGCTGCTGTCCCAGCAGGCCACACCATAAAAGATGGGTGATGCCACCAGAGTCATAGAAGGTCTGTAGGAGGGCCCCCAGCTCCCCAACAGACCTCAGTCTCCTCAGCAGATAGAGTCTGCTCTGTCCCTTCTTGTAGAGAGCAGTGCAGTTAGCCGACCAGTCCAGTTTATTGTTCAGATGAACACCCAGGTATTTGTATGATTCCACAATCTCAATGTCAGCTCCCTGGTTGTTCACTGGTGTGGGGGGGAGTGTTGGGGCCGTCTGAAGTCCACCACCAGCTCCTTGGTCTTCCCTGCGTTGAGCTGGAGGTGGTTCCTCTGGCACCAGAGGGGGAAGTCCTGCATCAGCTCCCTGTACTCCCTGTCGTCCTCGTTGGAGATGAGGCTGATGATGGCAGAGTCGTCAGAGAACTTCTGCAGGTGACAGGTAGCAGTGAAGAGGGTTATGTCTGCAGTGTAGAGGGTGAAGAGAAACGGTCCAGAACCGTCCCCTGTACTGCTGATGATGGTGTCTGATTGACACTCCCGGTTCCTCACGTACTGTGGACGGTTGGTGAGGTAGTCCAGGATCCAGGAGGTTAGAAACATAAACATATGGACATAGGCCACCATATAAAAAGTGTGCAAATGTATTTAGTATCCTATCCATGTGAACATGTTTTAGGTGGGGGGTGGACCTAACCTCCTCTAGGAGGGTCTGGGGGCATGTTCCCCTGGGAAGATTTTATTTTAAATATTGAAGTTAAAAGCATCGATCTGGTGCACTTTGAAAGCAAAATTAAGAGATCTATGTATACATCTCTCAACACCCATATGAAACAGAACTGTAAACAGATGTACTTTTTCTTTATGGATATTTTCCTAATCACTCTCCTTTTAAACTGTATTCTTGTTTTACTGTCCTATAGTATTTCATACCTGTTTTTCATTTATTCTCTTATTTTTTAATAACTATAATGATCATATAAAGGTGTTCCTCGCAAATACTTGTTTACATAAATGGTGACCAAACCGTTTGAGACCCACAGAGATAACTTACACTAAAGTTAATGATCTAAACACTCAGAGAGTCCTTTAGCTCACTGAGCTGACGTTATAAGATCCTCTCAGTCTGACAGGAGAGGACTCTCCTCCACCTTGGTGTAGAAACAGCTCTTTATATCCGTTAGCATAGCTAGCTAACCAGATGCTAACAACAACATTCCACGTTACTGCTCGCGCACTCACAAAATGTGCTCGTGCCACACACACACAGAGCCGAGCTTGAATGAAACACAGAGACCCAGAAGTACTTGTACTGTACTGTATATAATATTCTTTTCCATGGCTTTACTGTATAATCAGTATAACAGATGGACAGATCGCCACTGGGCTTTCATCTAAACACACAGCCACGTAATGATAACAAAACAAAGGTCGGGGGTCATTGGTCAAGCAACACACCAATCAGAGAGCAGCAGTGAGCACACCTCAGGCTGTGTTTTATATTTGTATTCTTTATTTCTGATTTATTTCACACAAAAAACCTTTAGTGGAAACGTTTTCACTTATATGATTAAAAAAAACGGCAAAGTGGCAAGGCTTGCCCGCCCTGCATTGGGGGGGCACAGTGACTCATTTGGGGGGGCATGGCCCGCGAATGACCCCCCATGACGCCGACCCTGATGTGAGGTGCAAAGGAGAGGGAGCTGTCCTGGATGACACCAAGGCTCTTAAGGGAACAGAGAAACCATCAATGATGAGGTTGGAAGCAGGGGAGGGTGGAGCTTTGGAGAGGTTGGATTTTGAGCCAATGAGCAGGGCCTCTGTTTTGCTGCCATTGAGTTACAGGAAGATCCTGCTCATCCAGCTCCTGATGTCCTGGAGGCAGTTGGTGAGAGAGGTGGGGGGGGGGGCATGTTGGGTTTGGTGGAAATGTAGACCTGTGTATCATCGACATAGCACAATGTAAGTGGACATTGTGATGTTTCTTTAGATACATCACTTGACCATACGTTTTTATTCTCCACAGGAGCAGGCTCTGGATTAGAACAGTGAAATATCAAAATGTTGATCAAATGGATTTATTGATAAAAAATGTATGGATCTTGAGTATACAGATATCCAAAGTGCCACAGAACTCATAACATTCAACTAGAAAGAACGTTTGTATAACATATCATATAAAAAATATTTTTCTTAAGATGTTTAAAGGAATTAGGTGAACTTCTTTTTATTTTTAGTAATACATCTTAATAGCAAGTGGACTTGTGACTCTAATCGTGTTATTCTTGTTTAACAAATGTATTTATTATTTATAACTACTATATTTACACTGAGGAAATGCGGAGTATGAGGAGAATTAAAAAACTGCAAACCCAGAGGCAATAAACAAGTTAAACTAAATGCTTCCCAAAATCAGTTTCCTCTCAGTCCTTGTAACAATAACTAATATTAACAGGAGCCAGACAACTAAACTCAGCTCAAGCAATGCAGGATGTGCAATATTTTTAGAAACATAATACAATCAATTAGTCCATATTTCCTCTCGCCGTTCAGGGTAGAGTGGACGATGAAGGTGACAAGACTGCCGGAACTTGTTGAACATGATATCATGTGTTGCATCAGGAGAGCTTTACCTTAAAAACAGGAATAATTCATCATCTCCATCTCTCTTCAGAGCCTCACTTTCTGCATGCCATCGACTACGGTAACTACGTATACTTCTTCCTCAGTGAGATCGCTGTGGAGTACACCGCCCTGGGCAAGGTGAGTGTGTGTGTGTGTGTGTGTGTGTGTGTGTGTGTGTGTGTGTGTGTGTGTGTGTGTGTGTGTGTGGGTGTGGGTGTGGGTGTGTGGGTGTGTGGGTGTGTGTGTGGGTGTGTGTGCGTGTATGGAGCTCATCTCTATGGAATCAGACCTAAAAGACCTTAAATGAGGGGGGATCTAAAATGGTTGATTAAAAGTGACTCTAGTTCTGTTAGTTCAAACCATGCATAGAAATACAATAAATTCAATTAAAATAATCTCCCCAACAATTAAAATTAATTAATTAATTATTAATAATTAAAAAAATAATAGGAGTGTTATAATTAAGATAATAAGAATAATAAGAATGATAATAAATAAAAGAGGGAAGGGGGGCACACCGGGTTAGTAAAATAGTATAAAAATGAACTACAGTAGATGTCACTGAATAATAAAAAACACTAAGATCGAGGTCGGGTAAGTTTAAAAGATTCATCATAGGACAGGTGTTTAATTTGCTCTATTTATTTAAAAAGGTGGCAGGTCGGTGAAGACGTTCTCTATGCGGGTGGTTTTGCTAGCCTCCAGGTCATAAAATAAATAAAAATAAATATGAATAAATAAATAAAAGGATGCCTCCTCATGTGGCGTTGATTACAATAAGGTAAAAGCATGCAAATATGTACATATAAGGATAAAACATGTAATAAGTCGTAAAAACATATAAGAAATAAATATAAACACCATTAAAAGAAATAAGGTAGTGCTAGAAACATGCTTTAAAAATGGAGCGCACTAGTAAAAAAAGTCCAGATGAGGACGGTCACTAAAATGAATTGGTTTGAAAAGGAATATAAAAATCTGTATAAATAATTATTAGATATAAGTGCTTTAATAAAATACGTGGAGGGTGGATTCAAGCAGGCTGACGCACCCGCAGAAAAAGGAGGTTAAAATCACCGATCTGGAGGAGAGAGACCCTGGGGGAGAGGAGATCACACAGGTTATTAAAGTTAATAAAACATGTTTGAGTGGTGGGAGGCGGACCCATCAGAGGTACTTTTCATTTAATCCGCCCGGGTCTATGGTGCGCAGGCGATGGATCCACCTCCGCTCCGCCACTCGCCTCTGTGCTCCAGCCGCTGCTGCTCTCCAGGCCTATGGACTGCACGTTATTGAGGCCATGGAGTTTAAAATGGTTGTATAAAACGCTCGTGCCGTCCCCGTCTCTGATTTTGTATCGGTGTTGTTGGGTTAGGTTTAGGGTTAGGGTTAACCTAATAGTGCCCTATAAAGGGTTAAGCGATCCCGTAGGATTCTGGTATCTGTAATGAGGCGTGGCCCTACCTTAGTGTGAGTGTGGCAGTCGTGCAATCTTACCTTATCCCATTCCAAATGGGTGGGATGATTTTATTAAAAAAAAATTCCCCACTTTTACAGGGTTCTTACCTTCTCTCGTTACATTGTGACATTATTTCCTTCTGTTGTTAACCTCTAATATATAATCATTAATTCACCGGTTTACATTTTTCCATTTTCATTAAAACCTCTTCCGGTAGAATTCAAAGGGAAAATCCTCATAAAGGCCGGTATTAGGAATATCGAACCTCCACAGCTTATATTTTTGTTCAGTATATACTTTGTATATATTTTTATTTTATTCCTCTGGATTGTGAGAAACAGCATTTTGTTTTCCCTGTCTGTATCACACAAACAGAAGATTGACAAAAAGGACACTTTGACTTAAGCCCCGCCTCCAATCCATTGTATCCATTCATGTGTCGGCTCATTCAATTAAATGAATAACTCTATATTCAGATTACATTTTTTAGGCCCTGTAGGGTATTTTAGCCCTGAGCGCAGGATTAGCTGAAAAGAGTCCAGGAAGCTTATCTACAAGTTAACAGCGTTTAATTAAACAATGATACGATGATACAATTAAATTGCAAGAATGGTGAACAGCTGTTGCTCTCCCCCCTTCGGCGTGGGATCAGAGCAAGAGACCAAGGTTGCGGTCGAATACTCCAAAAATCAGCTCCTAAGTTCTAACCCTATCGTCTATTCCTTGACCTCTGAGTGAAACGTCACGGGGTTAAGGGATAGTGGATAGGAGAATTCAAAAGGATTTCGGAGAAGAGACTGCGGTACTTTAGAGAATCTGACTGCACTTCCACTATCCGACGTGTTTATGATGCGCCAGCGGAGGTCATAAATGTGCGTCTGCTGCTGTGGGGAAACTATGGAAACTACAGTTTTCTATACAGCGGACTACAACATGGATGTTTAATAAGAACGAGGGACTACTGTAAACTCATCTAGAGACTCTGCACCGTGCTCTGATGCTGTTGTTTTATGCTTTATGAACGGGGACAACAGAGAAACATATTCTTCATGACCAAAGTTGGAATTGAAATAAAAAGGAAAGTGAAACTTATGCTCGTCACCCTCTCCCTCCGGTCCACATTAATACAAATGATCCCAATACGTATGATTGTATGAAAAGATCTTAAAATCAATACAAATGTATTTATTATAAACGTTAGTCCTTAACATCTATCACTGTGTATATCACCATTCAAACATCTTTTTAAAAGTTGAACAAACCCCACACAGCTCAGTAAAGACTGTGAAATGTTGACTTTATTTGATCATTTCAGTAAAAACTAACGTTCATATTTCTCTTTTTGATTATAATACTGATGAACGTTCAAAACAAAGCACTTTGGCAACTTACCACATACGTTTTAAAATGCTTCATAAGCACCGTAACTTTCATGATATCATTTCTCGGTCATAATCGGTTGTTTCCGTGAACGGCCGACTGTTGTGTGACGGCAAATGCCGCGGCCGCAAGGCATTGTGGGGCAGCATTTTCTCCTCTCCTTTCGGTTAGGGAGGTCCAGTGGTTCCTAAGCTAAAGGAGGTTATAAAGGAAGTTTGAAACCTCCTTTCCTTTTAATTTAGAGAATTTGAACGGCACTTATCATGGCTGCCACTGAGGGACTTCGGGTCATTTCACTCCGTTAGGAAGGTTCCTAAGCTAAATGGACTATTCGACCGCAACCCAATTTCCTGTGTGCATCACATATTCTCCTCGGAAGTCTTCTCTCATTGGTTGGCGGGGAGGGGCGGGTCCAAGACACGTCCTGTCGTTTTCTGATGTTAGTTTTACAATATTCTAATATCTGTTGACCATTTTAAACATTCCCTAATAATAGTATTGCAGCGTCAATAAGTGAGGGTTAAAGACAGTGTGAATACTTCTTAAATTCACGTATGCAAAACATAATATTAGCTACATGCTAATGCTAAGCTGAAGTTGACAACATTTACAAGGGAAAACCGGAAGTCGAGTGTGTGAACATCCGGTTTTCAGAATAAAGCAGCTTTAAATTAGAACAGTGTATTCATTTAAAGTTACAGCACATAATATTGATTTTATTTACTTACAGCCCAAATTATATAAATAAGGGCTATTCAAGTTTCCATTCTGGGAAGTAGATTTACCTAAAAAGATGTATACGCTTTAAAGACGTTTCCTTCCCAATGTAATGGGAAAACGTTCTTTAGACCCACAATCCTTTGCACCTTAGATTTAGAACCGCTTGCTCACACACCTGCGCAAAGTTATGACAAATTATTATTCCCTAGTTGTATGCATACTGCAAGCAACAGTTCATACTTACAGTAAACAGAAAATATTTTCAATGTGGAATCCAGAGCGGCACCTCTCAGAACTCTCCCTCCCTCCCTCTCTCTCTCCAGGTGGTGTTTTCTCGAGTCACCCGGGTCTGTAAGAACGATAATGGAGGATCTCCCAGAGTTCTGGAAAGATACTGGACTTCTTTTCTCAAGGTGAATTCCCTTTTAATAAAATGACTGAAGGACACGTTGAATGACACAATGTGAAGCCAATTGAACTGTGTGTGTGTGTGTGTGTGTGTGTGTGTGTGTGTGTGTGTGTGTGTGTGTGTGTGTGTGTGTGTGTGTGTGTGTGTGTGTGTGTGTGTGTGTGTGTGTGTGTGTGTGTGTGTGTGTGTGTGTGTGTGTGTGTGTGTGTGTGTGTGTGTGTGTGTGTGTGTGTGTGTGTGTGTGTGTGTGTGTGTGTGTGTGCAGGCTCGTCTGAACTGCTCGGTTCCCGGAGATTCGTTCTTCTACTTCGACATTCTTCAGTCCCTCACCAACGTGCTGCAGATTAACCAGAGGCCCGCTGTGGTGGGGGTCTTCACCACGCAGGACAACAGGTAACATGAGGGCCAACTCTGTGAGGACCACTTTCAGGCTAACACCTGAAGAGTGAGGACATTTTTTAAAAGTGGTGATAAGAGTTCTGTTCTCTCAGAACAATCGCTTAGTTACTCTCTGGATGATATCATGTTAGGATTGTGCAAAGAGTCAGAAACTCAGCAGAGATCTTGTCAGTCTGTTGTTGTGTTGTTATGTTGTTGTCTTCAGATCTTCGGAGTCTCCGAAATTGAGTGTGTTGGTTTTGGTTTATTTTAAGTTATATTATCTAAGTTTGGTCTGACACTTATCACTACTTTTAAATTAAATCAGTTAATGTGCGTTCTTCTCACAATACAATATTTGCAGCTAAATACTTCTCCATGACATTCTCTGCAGTATTCCTGGCTCAGCAGTCTGTGCGTTCTACATGGACGACATAGAGAGCGTCTTCGATGGAAAGTTCAAGGAGCAGCGGACCAGCGACTCCTCCTGGACTCCAGTCCCTGAGGAGCAGGTTCCCAGACCCAGGTGAGACCACCCTTTCACTGGGGGCAAACTCAGGGTCCTCCCAACCTAGAACGCTTTAAAACATGGTCTTTTTTAGACACGTAATGGTGCGTTCAGACCGGCAAAAAAGCAGACATTTACCTTGTGTTACTGACCGCAGCGTCATTTGCGATTACTCGCATCAATATATGAAATAACCGTCCTTACAGCTTACAGAAGCAGATTGGTTGTTTATAGCTGCATTTCAACAACAACACATTCGTTGTTTCCAGGCCCGGTACATGTACCGGTGATGGTCCGGCTGTGGACTACAAATCATCGGTTCAGTTCCCCGACGAGATGCTGATGTTTATCAAGTCGTACCCTCTGATGGACGAAGCTGTTCCATCTGTCAACCACCGGCCCTGTTTCACCAGGACTTCGAGCAGGTAACACACCACACACACACACACACACACACACACACACACACACACACACACACACACACACACACACACACACACACACACACACACACAAACAAAAGCTCACAAACACACACTCACACCTAAACAAACACAAACACACACTCACACCTAAACAAACACAAACACACACTCACTCACACACAAACAAACAAAAACACACACAAAGAAAGACACACACACGCAGTTTCTTTGTTGCAAATTTCCATGTTTTGGTTTTATTAAGGCTGAGTTCAAGTTAAATCTGATTCGTCTTTTGATAGCAGACGGTTTCTGAAGTCAGTGTAATCAAGGGTCCATGTGCAGTCATATAAATCCAAACTAAGAATTCCCGTCAATTTAACGTCAGCTAATGCCATAAAATCATCCACCATGGATTTCTTTTTAATATATATTCATACTGCTATGCAGTAGCAGGGAAAAAATGTTTACTTAGTGAAAGCAAAACAATCAAATTGAATATCGAATATCAAGAGTCAACTTGTGGCCTTTTTTAAGTAAGTAGGTGTGTAACAAACGGTATAATGTGCAGCATGCAGGTCGTTAATGAGAACCCCAGCAGTGTTCTTCTCTCATTAATTGTCACAAACAAAACTAACTGGACTTTTTGTATTTCATTGTTTCATTAGCATCTTAACCTGTTACGCACCGTCCCCTCGGTACTGGGCGGATAAACGCGTCATTTGCAGGAAACAACGTCTAAGGAATCTTAATATTTAATAAACTATGAATGTTTTATATCCATGTAACGGGAAGAAACTCAGCTAACTGATCTTTTAAAAAAAAAAAAAAATTTAAAACCCACAATGCTAACACTCAGCCTCTGAATTAGCCACGAGCGAAAAAATCCAATGTGTCTGTGTCCTCTTTGAAATTATTTCTGATAATCCATAAGCAATAAAACTGCTTTTTCGTTTCCAGATGTCAGAGCGAGAGATCGCTTCACTCTGGTGCAAACCTGCATGCGCGAAGCCCCCACTGTTGTTTTCACAACGAGTGTGTGTGGGGGCATCCCCCTTCGATTCTATTGGCTCTAACGGTCAGAAAGAGGTGTCAACCATCAAAATCGACCAAGGAGGGCCAGAGATATGGGAAAAAAACCATTTTCACCCAAATCACCTCAGAGGTGGAGTGGTTTTGGCTAAACCTCTCTAAAAAGGTCAAATGTCACTTGTTTTGCATCAATCTTGATACAGGGTACTTATTATATGTTGTACTTTGGATTCCTAAAGCTTTTAGTCTACTAACCCATCATCCAAGGGTAGTTTTCACTATAAGTAAAAAATAATTTTTGGACGGACACTATAATTTACAGTTTTTTACTATGTAAAATCTGAATTTTCTTTAAAATAAAAAACATCTATATTGATTCTGACTTTTCTACATCCAACTCACAGGTTTATCATTACTTTGAGAAAAAAGATTATTAATTTAACCCTTTTAGAAGGGAAGATATGGTCATTTGTTCTGGGAATGGCATTTTCGAGCCTGAGACCTGAAAAACAGGCTCAGGGCTTAACAGGTTAACACGTGTCATTGAAGCCATTTATAGCTTTTGATTTATGATAAGCATATCTTAGAGATATATTTTTGAAATACAGTATGACTTAACCTGTTAAGCCCGAGAGACCCCGGTACCGGGGCACTGCCGCAACATCTTGCAGGAAACAGTGTCTGAGGGCATGTTCATTTAATAAACTATGAATGTTTTATATCCATGTAACTCATCTAACTGATCATTTTTATTTTTTTTAAAAACCCACAATGCTAACGCTGAGCCTCTGAATTAGCAACAAGCGAAAAATGCTAACAGATTACTGCACCGAAATTCACTCACAAAACCTTATTATTTATCTTTTCTGCACATCCATGACATCATTTCACATCGTGAGGTGACACAGAATCGAAGGGTACCCTCATTATCACTCAATTATACGAAATCGCGATTTTATAAACATAAACAGACATCAAAACATGTGGCGCTAGGTAGCTAAAAATGCTAACATGGTGTGCCTTGTGTCGTAGTCTGGTCCAAAGTGGTCTTCAATGGCATTAAAACGATAAAAACGCTGCTGAAGTTAATCCATAGGTTAATCCAATGTGTCTGTGTCCCTTTGAAATGATTTCTGATAATCCATGAGCAATAAAACTGCTTTTCCGTTTCTAGATGTCAGAGCTACAGTATAGGTTCGCTCTGATGCAATTCTGAATGCGCGAAGCCCCCAACCTTTTGTTGTACAATGTAAGTGAGTGAGGAGATTCCCCTTCGATTCTATTGGCTCTAACGGTCATAAAGAGATGTCAATCACCAAAATCGACCAATGGGTTCCAGAGAAACGGTAAAACCCCCATTTCCACCCAAATCACCTCAGAGGTGGAGTTTTTTTTGCTAAACCTCTCTAAAAAGGTCAAATGTCACTTGTTTTGCATCAATCTTGATACAAGGTACTTATTATATGTTGTACTTTGGATTCCTAAAGCTTTTAGTCTACCTTACCATCATCCAAGGGTAGTTTTCACTATAAGTAAAAAATAATTTTTGGATGGACACTATAATTTACAGTTTTTTACTATGTTCAATCTGAATTTTCATTAAAATAAAAAACATCTATATTGTTCTGACTCTTCTACATCCAACTCACAGGTTTATCATTACTTTGAGAAAAAAGATTATTAATTTAACCCTTTTAGAAGGGAAGATATGGTCATTTGTTCTGGGAATGTCATTTTCGAGCCTGAGACCTGAAAAACAGGCTCAGGGCTAAACAGGTTAATACTCTATACCAGCGGTTCCCAACCTGTGGGCGGGGGCCCCCTAGTGGTCCGCAAAGGCATTGTAAGTGGGCCGCCAAATAATTTAATTTAAAAAAAAAAAAATGTTGTACAGGCTAAAGACACAAACATGGACATAACAATAACATATAGGAGATGACATTCCCATCTCAGACAACAACAAAACAAAAACAGAATAAATAAAGATACAGTCAGTAGGACCACTTCAACATTTCACAAACAAAAATAGGTTGACAACCATACCACCAAAAACACAACATGGCAAGCATATTTATTGTTCCTTTAATCCCACTCTTCGTTAGAGCTAATTATTTCCCATTTCATTGTGTGATGAGCCTTTGATTTTTTGTGGCAATCATTTTTTTCTAAATAAATTGTATTTTTAATCTACTCTTCAAACACCTTAAATTAAAATTACTCTGATTGACTTTTAAAAATATGTATTTTATCCAGAAGAATAGTTGTATTTATTAACTGTGTGCAGTCTTCATCTAAAAGCCCAAATATAATATTAAAGGGTGTAAATAATTTAAAAATAATTTGCAAAACATTAGGATTTGTGTGGAAACATTTTCATTATTACGATTTTTTTTTTTTAACCTCTTTTCCTTTCTCTTTCTTGATCCTCCTTAGCAACGGTCATTACAGTCCTTGACAGCGGTCTGTTCTACTGGATTTACAACGTGTCACATGTTCTGAATTGACCAATCAGAACTTTATTTAGCCTCCGTATTGTTTATGGTTGAATGTGGGCCGCGAAAAAAAAATTTTGATTCTTAAGTGGGCCCTGAGTTGAGTCGGTAGTAGGAGACTGCAGAAGGGAGCAATTTCCATTAACCCCCATTTTAAAAGTCCAAACTTTTGAGCAGAAATAAACATGTTTCCATTGTGGTTCAAAAAAACATATTATCTGTATAGTTAGATTCCACATTCATGTGAGGGGAGTTCATTTTGCTGCTGTTGTTAGCTTTCTGTCTCTCTGCTAGCAGTTCCGCTGCTTCATTTAAGTGGGGAACACAACTTTTTCTTTCTTTAGGTAGCACTTACAAAGGTTTGGCTTTAAATGAAGAAAATGCAGTAGCAGTAGCTACAGTGTAGATATGGCAATGAAAAACTTAAGTCACAGGCTCTTCCAACAATGCAACGGGTTAGGGTTAGGGTTCGGGAATATATAAAGGACATAAAACAATTAAAATAGTGCAAGAGAATGTTTTTGAGATGTGCAAATAAATACCAATTAAATAGAAATAGGTTGGGCTTATAGATAGCAAATGAACCTGCAGGATTCTTGATTTTGAGTTTTTTTCTTCATGGTCAATACACTTATTGTAAGTCCTGTTGGATAAGCGTCCGCTTAAATGTAATGTATGTAAAAATGTATGCAAAAAGCTAAATAAGGCCACTTTAAATACATGTTATTGTAGGAGGGGAGGTGTTGCATCTGGGTTTACTAGTGTGGTACATTTGAATAATAAAGGGGTAGAGACGTTGTTTTTATTTAAGTCTTTGAAATCACACATTTAGCCAATTTGTTTTGGCAAAAGGAGGCTTTTACACATGATTTTTCCTCACAGATTACTGAGCATCCTTTTTTTTACTTCAAGGTCCAAGCTGAGCCAGATAGTGGTGGATGTGTCTGCCGGGCCGTACAAGGACCGCACAGTGATGTTCCTGGGTTCAGACGATGGCCGAGTCCTGAAGCTTCTGACCAGCACACATCCTAACGACAGCTTCGGATCCAAACTGCTGGAGGACATCCATGTCTACAATCCATCCAAGTAAGATCTGAGCACATCGGAGATTATTCTCATACTGCCCTTCTGCTGAAGACGGCTTTATATGATGAATGTGTGTGTGTGTGTGTGTGTGTGTGTGTGTGTGTGTGTGTGTGTGTGTGTGTGTGTGTGTGTGTGTGTGTGTGTGTGTGTGTGTGTGTGTGTGTGTGTGTGTGTGTGTGTGTGTGTGTGTGTGTGTGTGTGTGTGTGTGTGTGTGTGTGTGTGCGTGCGTGCGTGCGTGTGCGTGTGTTTGTGTTGTGGTGTGTGTAGGTGTAATGTTCAGGGTCAGGAGGACAGAAGGGTTCTGGCTCTGGAGCTGGATAAGGAGCGCCATGCGTTGTTCGTAGCGTTCAGTAGCTGTGTGATCAGAGTGCCGCTCAGCCGCTGCAGCCAGCATGGAGCCTGTAGAAGGTGAGTCCACACACAGCAGCTGCTCTCACTCAGCCTTATGCTCCGAGATCTGTACTTGATCTCACAAAATAAAATTGGGTAAACATAAAACCTAAACAGACCAATCATTGGTGGCTTAATCTGGAGTAACCCTGAAGATCTTATGCCTTGTCTCTTATTATTCAACACATATATTGGACCTGTCAGCGTGGATTTAAACTTGACCCAAGCTACTAGAGACTGGACTTTGATTGGACTGCCACTAATAAGGTCTTGAGACTGGGCTTAGATTTGCTCTGGAGGGGAAACTTGACTTGATCTGTCTTTTTAACCACAAGACATGACTAGAGACTTTGCTCAAATTGCTTGAGACTTAAGATATAGTTATGTGTGTGTTTATGCATATTCTCTTATTTTATTTCTACTTCTCGTGAGTTTTTCTCATCAATATAATCCTCTCTTTATTTCTGTCTCCACACCATTTTTTTTCTTCATCTCTTCCCTTTAATGTCCCTCTCAATCTTCTTTAATTCTTCCCTCCCCTCCCCTTCCTCCTGTCCCTGGGTTCTGCTTCAGCTGTTTTAACTTTGTTTGTTAGAAAAGAAAATAGTGGTATCACAGTACAATTTGACAATATCAGAATCAGAATACCTTAATTAGTCCCACAGAGGGGACATTTACATTGTTACAACAGAAAAGAGCCAAAGACAGCTTAATGTTACCTAAGAAGCATGCATACAAAAATATTAAAGATAAGAAAAAATATTATAATAAAAAAAGTAACACAATATACAAAAAACACATCCTGTAATAGAGGAATTAGCAGCCAGGTATATATTCCACAGTTTTTTTTGTTATAGTCTGTGTTGTTGTGTGTCCCCCCACACACACAACAACACAGACTATAACACTCCTTGTTGTTAACCACCAACTATGTGCAATATGTACAATATATATATACATGCCGTTAAAAACTGTGCAATATACCTCTACCTCGACTAGGGGCCGTGGTGGTTATATAGTCTAACCGCTGCAGGAAGGAAGGACCTGCGGTATCTCTCCGTGAGACAGCGGGGGCAGCAGCCTGTCACTGAAGGAGCTGCACAGTGAGGACAGGGTGTCCTGGAGGGGGGGGGACACATATCAATATTATGGTGGCGAACCAATTATAATTTGGATTCAAACATTGTTTTTCCAGCCATGACTATTTCGTGGTTTGAGTCTTGATTTATACACATCAACACTTTTTTGGAGTTATGCCCTGACAACTGTCATGTATACATTTAAAAAGATGGGCCTTAATGGCATCAAGCTGATATCCACCATATGATTTGTGGTATGTACCACACTAAAGCCATATGGTCAACTTCCAAGTATTTATTTAAAATGTATCAACAATGACTTCAATTCAATTTTCCCATGCAAGAAAGTGTTAAACAGGAAACAAGAAGAGCAGTAAAGACTCAACTGCAAAAAGCCATGAATTCCTGGATTATAGCATGTCGGTTCCTTTCATAACTCACATGGAATGGAAAATGTAGCCACGGGAGAATTCCGATCTGTTGTTTCTCCAACAAGAGTTGCATTTGACATTATAAAACACTGGGAGAATTGTAGATCCTGCATTTGATTCCTGAACGGAAAATGAAAGCCCATTACGATTGATTTCCGAATTCAAAATCGAAATTGTTACCATCACTACCTGCAATAACTTTATTTTCTGTAAGAACCCATGGTTACCAAACAGGAAGGGAGAAAAGCCATCGCATGACCATACCTACAGTAGGCCCATTGAACAATTATTTAACTTGAGAAATTGGGATAACGTTCCATCAAATATTATAATTTTCAAGTCAAACAATGTGTTCCCGATTAGTATCATTTATCCATATATTCATCGCCATGTCACATGTTGCCTGTGGTATAACCACTTTCTTGGCTTTCTTTTTTCTCATTTTAAATAATGCAATCTTAACATGTGGAGGAGAATACACTGGCTTTACATTTTTAGCATCGGCATGAGATGTTGAGTTATATTCATGGTAGCTTACAGCAAAGCGGAAAAGTGCAGACTGTGTTTCAGAGTGTGTATGACACCACCCTGTTGTTGGACTGTTGGAATAAGTGTTATTCAAATATAGTGTTGTCCAAATATACCTTCTCATATTATTTGAGAATTCAATGTTTCATTTTATCAATATGGACTACAGGAAAAGCAGATACAAATATTACTGACCCAGATAAACATTAAAGCCCCCCCCCCCCTCTCTCTCCAGAGCCTGCCTGGCCTCCCGTGACCCATACTGCATCTGGCTGCGCACCGGGAGCTGTGCCAACATGGCGCCAGGTTTCAAGTACGTGACCCCTCTTTCTTTCTGTCTCCTCTCTCTCTCAGGCGGCATCAGCCCCACAGCTGATAAAGTTCTCAGCTCCACTGGTATATCTGATGCCCCTTTCCCCCCAAAGCAGTTCCAGGGCCAGTTCGGAGCTAGTGCCCGATTAAGCTCTGGTTCTTCCTGTTTCCACGGCTGCTGGCTTTTGGCCCCAAAAAACAGTTCTTAGCTGTCCCCACTCGACTCCCCGTCAAGAAACAAGAACCAATACGTCACGCTTACGTTGGAGACGGGGGCAGGAGCGCGACCACACACTTTAAAAAAAACTACTTTTAAGTGAGCCAACACTAACCAGGCATAGTGTGATGCTCTTTGTTTTTACCTTATTTGAATGACCATCCGTTCGCTGATATTTCCCGTTTTTAAGACCATCAAAACGATTTCCTGTTGTTTTTTATTATATCAGCTATCGGGTGGAATCAGTACATGGGCTACACAAGTGAAATCATAAAGAAATCACCCATCTTATACCAGAGACACTTTAATAAAGGCGTTGTGATGCCAAAAAGCATAAATTCATACTGAAACACATTCACTTATGGGGATATTTATGAGATGCTTGTGTGACAGTCAGACAGTGAATACTTTCCAGCGGACGTGAGTTAACGGGAGAATAAACGGTAAACGCTAGACTAAACGCTAGACTAAACTCTGGTGGAAGAGCAACACTGCAGCGGTCGGTAAATTCCGCTGAACCACATTAATAAACAATGAAGCACGGCACTCTAGGAAACCAGACCGGACGCAGTCTCCTATTGTTGTTGTTGTGAGCAGCGTTGGGGAGAAAATCAGCGACGTAAACGATGATGTCATGACGCAGCACCAGTTGGGTTCTGGGCGGTGGAAACACAACCGGTGCTAAAAAGAAGAACCGGTGTGGAACCAGAAAAGCACAAGCACGGAGCTAGAACTGGAACTGGTTGGAACACCTTATTTCCAACCAGTTCCAGTTCTAGAACTATCATGTTGTTTATTGGGGACTTAAAATGTTTTCCTTACCAAGGTTGGAATAAAAAGAAAAGGAAAAGGTTGATCCCGCTCACCCTCCTTTCCTCATGAGTCCCAATAAGTACGATCGTATGAAACTATTTGAATAAACAATATTTTATCATTTACTATTATTACTTATGCCTACACCTCTACTACCGGGCATATCACCATTAAAAAATGTTGAGTAAAGAAAAATGCTTAATAGAATCTGACAAAACTCAGTTAACAGTAAAGTGTTGACTTTATTTGATAATTTGACTGTAGTCATTGTGAAGTTCATAGTGTGCCTTTTGGCAGTGGTGTAAAGTAACTAAGTACATTTACAAGTACTGTATTTAATACTCAGGTACTTTTTTTGCTACTTTTACTTCTACCCCACTACAATTCAGAGGTAAATGGTGTACTTTTACTCCACTACATGTATTTAATACCTTTAGTTACTTTACAGATGTGGATGAATGATGTGAAATATAATCAAGTGTTGAATCAGACTTTAGTTCCACCTGGAGTAAATTCACAAGCTACCCTGCAGTATACAAAGTCATTCAAACTAGCTGCACCTTTACCAGCTTTGATAACACTTTCATGATCAATCATTATAAAACATATCATATATATTATTCTGAAATGGACCAATCTGCACAATGAATACTTTTACTTTTGGTACTTTAACTATATTTGGATGCTAATACTTTTGTACTTTTACTTGAGTTACATTTTGAATGCAGGATTTTTACTTGGAAGAGAGTATTCCTACACTCTTGTACTTCGACTCTTGCTCAAGTACACAATCTGAGTACTTTTACTTTAACAATAATAACTGCAGCAAAAATAGATAGAACATCGAGAGTGTATTGATTATCCCAGGGTGCACAGACACAATACGATCACCGCTTGCGAAGGATATATATATATCTCTATGTTCTATCTATTTTTGCTGCAGTTATTATTGTCCTTACTGTATAAAAAGGGCATATTTCCAAGACAAATGTTCATAAAATACATCCATTGTTTGTTCATATGCTTCTTGAACTCTCTAAAAACATTATTTTTCTAGAATAGAATACAAATTGCCTGAAAATGGTTCAAACAAGCGGCACCATGTGTTACAGGGGTGTGGCGCTGAGCTATAAGATGCAGTTCAAAGGGAAACCTTTGCTCTCTCCATTGCGGAGATAATCCCACAAGGGGGTTTTAACAATGACAAACTGTTGTTTATTAGTGGTTGAGTAGTCCGTTCCTTTGCGAGAGCCGTTTTTTTTTAAGGGGGCGGGGTTACGTTTATCTGCGAAATATACCTTTTATAATTCAATCAAATGTAGCCCTGTTTTGACTAATGATTTATATGTGTACAAATATAGCCTATCACTTCAATTATTCAATACATCCTTTGTACTGAAGTATTCAAAAGTAAAAATTACATTTTTAATATAAATGATTTGCTGTGGCCAATTGTTTTCATTGCATTTGACACTTGTAACTCTGATTGTAGAACCACGCAAAAATAAATAAATAAATCATAAATAAATAACATAATGAAAATAAATATATTGCAATGCTCAAAACAGCAGCATCCAACAGTCTCTAATCCTTGGATATTACATGTCACTGCATGCATGCACGGAGCACCCGTAGCGCAGAGATCATCATATCATTCTGTTTTGTATTGCTTCACAAAAAAACAAAATCAAAACAAAAACAAAACGGCTCGTTCGCGGGCCGGCTTCCGTCGTTCACTTAAAAGACGTTCGCGACCGACACATCACTATTACATATATCCATGGATGCAGGCACGTGCACACATAGACATCAAAGTGGGCTTGAGCCCCTACCCTTTTTCTTCCTCCAGAGAAAGTGCCCTTTTTCCCCCCTTTTTTAAAATGTTTATAAATTAATATATATCTACTGCTGTTAGCGCACAGTTTCCCTTTCCAAAAATATATTGATTGAATACAAAATATCAGGTCGGGAGATTAGACTGTGAAGTTCCGTAGCTCTCCTTCCCTCCCTCCCTCCCTCCATCCCTCCCTCCCTCCACGTCTCCTGCACAGCGGTGCGGACAGTCATCGGCAGTCACTTCAGACAGACAGGTAGCAGCACCTCCCACTTTACTGTCCCATGTTATGCCGGCTTTTCTTGGTTTATTTTGAAGGTGACTGGTGATGAACAAATTACTAAACTGCCAGTGCCTCGAGTTTACAGCTAATTAGCTAAAAGACAATAGCAAATATAGTTAACTAGGTAGGCTACTAGCTAATGGATAAGTTAGCTCAAGGTTTAGCTAAGGCAATTTATCATGGGCATACAGGCTAATGTACTGAACTTAAGGGGAGACACTTAAAGTGAATACAGTAAAATGTGTATCTAATAAGGTCATCACAATCGCCACATTGATATGCAAATTAGGCATTAACTAGGCCTAATTAAAATGTGCTAATTTGCATGCAGTTACCAAGGCATTGCAGGTGGAAAGGATAAAACAAAAAAACATATCACCTCACAACTTCCCCAGATAGTTACTTACGTCAAGTCAGTATTTTCCCCGGAAATGTTATGTTTAAAAACAAACACCATTTATATGTGTTTCTTGGAAGTTTTATTTCCATTAGAGTGAAAGAAAACATGGAAGCAAAATAGACCAAAATACATGAAAAAACGATCTTTTTGCCTGTAATGTCCTTAAACAGTAACTTCATAATTTTGATTGTTGGCTGCTCATTTAATAACTATTAATTTTACTAGTTTGTTGTCTGCTCTTGTGCATTGTGAATACTAAATAAGACCATTGTTTCTGTGTTAGCTGATTATTTTGTAGAATTCTGCTGAGTATTAAACAATTACGTGAGTGTGAGGGTATTAAAATAAATTGGTCAGTAAGTCAGAGATGTTTAACTTTTTGTTTTAAAACACTTTTTTATAAATGATTATGGGAAGTGCCCTTTTTCTCACTTGAGCACCCGCCCCCCAAAATATCTGTGCACGTCCCTGCATGGATGTATAATATCACTCAATCGATCGCCAGTAAGGACAATACTTACTCCAGGTTTAAAGTTCTCCGGGGTAGCGAGAGCTGCGTCACTAGCAACCACCTTAGGTACTATTTATACGCCGAGACTTGAAATAATCTTCTATCAAACTATAGATCCACTGGACGTAGATTTTGAAAGTCAAATATACACTTCTCGCTAGAAATGTAATCAAAAACCATTATAATGGCCAAACTATCCTACAATTTAGGATTTTCCACTGAAAAAAAGTTGGGTGTGCAGCATGTTTTTTTGTTTTCAATCCGGGAAAGTTCACAATCACGTGACATGGGCAGACTGTCCGCTTCTAAGAAACGACTCGGTAGGTCGTATTAGAGGGTCGGAAGAATCTACCTATTTGGTCGTATAAATTGGAGTACTTGTTGGAATATACCGGTATTTTAATAATGCATGATAAGCAACGATTTTGTAAGCATTTAGTTACACTTTAGCTATTTTTGCCTTATCTGGATGATTGTCAATTACACACAGGCCTCCATATATTTAAAAATGTTTATTTGCCACTATGTATAGGCACCACCATCAGTGATCTTCCACCTGTTGAAAAAGTCCTTCGAACTTTTTTCTGTTAATTCTTGAATTAAAAAATAAGGCAGAGGGCTCTCAAGTTTATACTGCTTAATTTTGAGAGGGAATAAAGAGTGTGGGAACCACAATTCTGAAATCCCTGAAAATGTGTCTGTTCTTCTTTCTTCCCATGTCTATGAAATGGAGAGTTTGACGAGTGTTCTTGTCAAATTACGGAGTTGATGGAGGAGCTGTGTTCTGGTCCAGTTAATCTGCCTTTGAACCCAGGGGTCTCGGTGTGCTATTGAAACAGGAATCAAGAAGCTGTCAAGATGATAAAATCACCCGCAGGAAACAATCATTTCTAAAGCTACTGCAGCACTAAATATGGCATAAAAAGGGCATTTGTATAGAAAA